GTAATGTCTAACTGTAATAAAATCTTTTTGTCATATAACAAGAACTCATATCAGGAACATCAATACCATGTTGTTCATTCACCGAATATTGGCATATTTGAAGACGTAATCCCGAATCACGCTCAAGATAATTGATATTAAAATCTTGACCACTATCAACTCTTTGAGTCTCAACTCTTTCAACTTGAGGCTCGACAATGGGAGAAGAGAGAAGATTTGGCTCATCACAAATGGGAGGCATTCTAGAAGATGATGACCCATCATTCTTTTTCTTAAAAAAAGAGAACAAATTCTTTGTTTTCTTGGGGTTTCGATTGTGATCCGACATAATAAAAGATAACTTATTTAATCAAATATCTTAACAAAAAATCAAACAATTTCTCATAATAGCATCAATGAATTTAGTCAAACATTAACATACCAACAACAAATCAAACATCTCAACAATGCCAACATCAAATCAAACATCTCAACAAAATTCTTAAAATCAAAGACCTAATTAATTTCAACAAAATCCCCAAATTATATTTCATTCCTAATTAAACCCTAGAAAACTCAATTTCAAATTAAAATTAAAACTAAGATGCATACATTTATTTTAGGAATAACCCAATAGAAGAAGATAATTAAAGAGAAGAGATTAAGAAGAATACTTGTTTCCTTGTATATGAGAAGAGAAGAGAAGAGGTTGTCCAGTGTCCACGATTGCACAGCACAGCCAAGACTTGCGTTGAGAAGAAGCTCTCCCGACTCTGTCTGGAATTGCACTGCACAGCCACTATTTGGCTGCTTAAGTTATATTCTTTCTTTTATTAAAGTTTGACTGGGCCATTCATGAGCTGGCTGGTTATAATTTTTTTTCAGTTTTTTAAAGTTTGAATGGGCTTGTGTTGTGGGTTTTATATGGATTGGGTAGGCAAGAGTGTATACCAACACATGGAAAGGATATCAATTACATAGCTTATATATAGGGTTTTTTTTTAGTGAAATATTTTTGGATAGGCGGTAGCCTACCCTGCCCTGGCTTAAGATCCGCCCATGTCTGCAGCATAATAAGGATGTGGTTGTTGTAGAGCACAATGACAACAGGCAATGCTGGTTTGTTGTGTGATTGCAGGAGCTGTGGTATGGACAAGTATGACTCTGTGGCTGGAGCTGTGGCTATTTTGCCTTGTTTTGCTGTCCTATAGCCAGAAGAGAGAAGAAGAAAAAAAAAAGAACAAAAAAACCAGACACAGACCCATTCGCTCCCCCTCCCCTGTCTGTTATTTTCTCCCGCATGACCTGATTGAAGAGAGCGACAATCAATCCAAGAATCCTGCTATCATAGGTCAACCTTCCATCACCACCATGACCTGACTGAAGAAACTAACCAGAACAGAGAAGAAAAAAATGACCCCATGACAAGAGGAAGAAGAAAACTGGCTGAGAGAGAAAAAAGAAAAAGAGGGAGAGAGGAGAGAGAAAGAAGAGAAAAAAAGAAAAAAAAAAAAAAGAGGAGAGATATGAACAGTTCAAATCATCGCACAATCAATAGTGGGACTTCGTAACGCATCCGTATTACAGGACTCCGTTATGGAGAAGCACCCTACAAGCGAGTAGAAATAACATATATATTCTAGTAAACATGACAAGTGGCTCTTATTTTTGTTAAAGGAAATTCTGAATTCTAATACAAAACAAAAATTAACATTTTTTTTTTATCATATACAATCCGACATGACACATAATCCCACAAAAATTTTAGTCAGTTCACAACAGTACTTGCCTAGAAGGAAGCTTTCCACGTGCGCTTTTGCAGCCGTTACACACAAGCACAAGAGCCAAAGGTTTCCAAGAAACCAAACAATTGTCGCTGATTTCTTCATTTCAAGAAAGTAATTGTTTGCTTGTTTGAATTAAAACATGGGTCCAAGCCCATGGTATATCCCCCTCCTTTCCAATAATCCTATAGATATATATATTTGCTCACCCTTTCTCTTTTGGCACCGAACTTGGAAAAAGCACAACAAAAACTCTACAAAAATGGATGTTTTTATTTCAGAAGAGTATGTTGAGAGGCGAAGGGTTGAGAGAAAGGCAGCTGCTGCTGGTGGAAATGGGAAAAGTTCAGGCATGGCGTCTGAATCTTCTGCGAAAAGGTCTGATGAGGAGAAAAGAAGAAAAGCTCGGCCAAATCATAACCATGATGTTATGGTCTCTAGTGGACTGAGTGATGGCATTGTTTTTAGCTGCTTCTCAGCCTAATTTACTTAGATGATGAGATATTGTATATGTTTATGGTGTTCTGAAATTTTAATGTCTTATTAGCAGCTAGAAATTAACTTTTAGACCTTTTATTACTTGAGTTATATGCCTCTACAAAATTAATCCAATCCAATGTGCATCGCCTTATAAATAGGGGAACATGTATCTTTGACACTCGTGCACAACATACTCTGAGAAGGATGCAGAAATTATAAAGCTGAAGTTTGTTTATGGACTTGTAAACCCTCTTTCTTTCTTTTTTTTTCTTTTTTTAAATCAATGGAGGTTAGGAGGTTCCAATTCCAATATTAGGAAGAGAAGTATCACTAGACCAAAAGTTAGTTGGTGACTTCTAAACCTTAAGTACTCAAGAGATTTTTCAATCGCATTTTTAGGATGGGATTTGGGGATCACACTACTCCTGTTGTGACCATGAGAGGAGGAAAACTACCTTATTCTTGTACACTACAACTTTCGTTCTCTCTATCTTTCTTCTTATGTGATCTATCACGCATGTGACAAGAGAGATAGAGAAAGTGTGGCACAATGCACATGGGTATAAAAGTATTTGTCTTCCTTTATAGAAATTATGTCATTATTTTCCTTCAAATATGGACATCCTATTTGAGTCAACGAATTTAATACCACTCTATAGCCAATCTTTTAAAACACATATTAATTGATGGAATATATTGTACTGCAGTAATAGTTTCTTCTAGTAAACCCTTGAGCCTTCTACTGAGTGTTGGGGTTGGATCTCGTCGTGACTGAAAAAAAATAAAATAAAATAAAGCACACAGACAACAATGCCGAAATTGTCAACTCAATTTTGAGTCAATAAAAGACGCCACCATAGCCTACGCTTTATAACATATAGTTATATATATATACTAATTAATTTGACGATAAATATATCTATATATATATTCATATGTAACGTAGGTACACTTTGGGATTTTGAAAGAAAGATGAACTACGATCCCCCCAATGCCTCCTTTTCCTCCGGCGTGATGTCTTCAGAATGGCAAGAATCCGAAACCAAACTCACAAGAAAATCAAAGATATCGGTGCCCACGACGGCCGAGGCAACGTCGTCTTTGTGCAGTGTCCTTCTCTTCCCTTCCAGGGTTGTCATCCAAGACCTCCGTGTGAGTTCCTCTATGAAGAGCTCACATGCCTTCGAGAACACAATTGGAGCCTCGCCAGATATCATCTTCACGTCCTCCCCGGACTTCTTCATGATCTTCTTGATCCTCGCCAAGGGCAATGAGTGGGCCCCAGTCCTCCCGGATATGCCTCCATGCATCATGAATCCCGAGTACCTTCCCGGTTGCCTCATTTCTTTAAAAGTTCAACGTAATATGATCGATCTTAAATGTAAAGATAAATGCACTTAAATTATCTCAAAAGCTATAAGTTTTGACGAAATTGTACGTCTTCCACTCTATGGGACATGGAGGTTATATATGATAAAGAGGGCAGCCGGCAGGGCGGGCCAGACTGCTTAAGCCGGCTAATTAAATCTAATGACCAAGTATATTGATTTGTTTATGATAAACAATTGACGACCTTCATTTTTTCAAACCATATAAATATATAATGGTACGTCACCTTAAACAATAAACAAGCATGCAATGGCGTGCACAGGAACAGATGTTAACAAGGATCCTTGGCGACAAATTTGTGTATTGTGGCATGGCATGAAATAATGCTACACATACAAATAGATCATGGTTCGTTTTTAATTGTATTTTATTCAACTTGATGGTCGTTTTATGTTCGGCTTTTGAAGCACAATTCCAAAACTGTTCGATGGGTTGAGATTTGGTCTCGTTACTTACAGGATTGCCCCTACAGCTCATAGCTAGCTAGGTACATGCATGTGGGTTTTGTTGAGATATGGTCTATATATATAAACATTTACTAGAAAACAATGCAATTTAAATTTATTGGGTTTGAATCTAGCCTTAACCGAATACAATGTTCGGTTGATATTTGGTCTACTTTTGTTGAATATATAATTGTAGGCTTAGACTAGACAGTTAGACTATTGCCTCTCATATATATAATATATATGTAGTTTAATAGTCGATGTTATTATTGAGAAAACAACAAAGCTAGTTTTGGTCGATTGAGTAGAGATATATTTTTTTTATGTAACTGTTGCCATTTTTTTTTGTAGTATACTAACCATAATGGTCGATTGAGTAGAGATATACTCTTTTTACAAACCATTTTAATCTGGTTGAGAACCAATAATCAAAGTCCTTACACTGTTGAACAATGTAAAATCTGGCATCGGAAACTTGACAAAATAAAATAAAATTATTTATCCATTTTGTGTTAGGGCTGACGCGTAGAATTTAGACCCAAACAACAATATATAATAAATAATTTCACTACTAATAGCACCAATGCCCTTTTTTATAAGACGCCTAAACCTATTGGATTATGATACTCCTCAATTTATAGTGTCCTTCGGACTCTAATGCAAACAAAATTAGAAAAGAAGTGAAAAAAATTAAAAAGAATGCCACATAAGTCCACCTACGTACCCACAATCCAAAATTTAGGAAAACGGAATGCCCACGGCTAGCTTTGAGGACCATCTTCGTTTACCTCCAATAGTAATTGGTGGTTTAGATTAACTTTAGGGTCGCTTAAATTCGACACTAAATATTCTAATTCTTTTTTCACCAGCATATATAATATTAATTTTTTTCTTCATATTTTCTTTTTCTCATTACCTTCCTCTCCGAGATCACCCAGATAGCCATCTAAGAACGAAGAAGAAAAAAGCAGAGATAATATTGAAGCGTCTAAGAAGTTACTTCTTAGGCCTTCGATTTTCTCTTCTTCGTTGTTTGGGCGTTCTAATTCAATTCACTACAAAGGTATTAGGGTACATTTAAGTTTTAAGTCCAAATCCCATGGCGGATGAAAAGCAAAAGGCTTCTCCTGAAAGTAAAACATCTCTCTCTCTCTCTCTCTCTCTCTCTCTCTCTCTCTCTCTCTTCAAATGGTTTTCTACCGACTTCTAAATTTGGAAATTTTTTGTTGTGCATGCAGAGGATACAAGTGCAATAAAAAAAGGTAATTTCAGGGCACCATCTTGAAGTTCTTTTAGTTTATATGCTCGTATTAATAATCTGTTTATCTTGTGCTTCCACAACAGTTTTGTCAACTAAGTCATTGGGTTTAATCAGGGCATGGGAAGAAAGCGAGAAAACAAAAGTAGACAACAAGTAAGACTCAAATCTCTATGCTAATTCCACATTTTGCCAAACCGCTTCGGCAATTAGCACATTTCTCTATTTGATAGGAGAAACTTGGGACAATTGATTACATTAATTTCAAGAGCTTATATTTTTACTTTCCACATTTTCTAACAATAATGTATTGAAATTGTTGATTAGGACAAATAAAAAATTATCTAATGTTGTTGCGTGGGAGCTCAGCAAGCAAGCATATATTGATGCGCAACAGAAGAAGTTTGAGGTAATTAATAGGACTAACTCCAGATTCAAGGCTTTAATCTTTTGACAATAATAATAGAGCGTCAGAAGAAGTTTGAGATTGAAAATGAGTCCAGATATGATACCAACACATAACTTATGAAACGTTGTCATATTAGTTGCGATTCAAAACTTTGACGTTCATCACTTATTCTCATAAGAATATTAGCGTCAAAGTTTTGAATAGAAAGGACCATTGATTATTGTTGCTTTTGAAAAATGTGACAGCAAAAACTAGAAAGGAAGAAGGCAATGTACGTAGAAAAGATGCAAAACAAAGTTGCTGAGATTCATAAGAAAGCAGACGAGAAAAGGGCGATTGTTGAAGATGTGAAAGAGGAAGAACGTACAAAGGTAGAAGAGAAGGCTGATAAATTCCGTGAAATTGGGCATGTACCAAAGAAAATCCTATGTTTTAACTTTTGAAATTTGTGTGTGTTTGTGTGTTTTTTTTGTTTTGTGTGCTTCACTCGATAGTTCTAGTATAGAACATGTGAAATTTAATGCTAATGTTGGGCATATATTTATGTAACCCAATGCTAAAACATCTGTGGTACATTTTTATCTAATGAGATTTTGTATGAGCCAATCACAGATAAAATTCGTCTTTTTCAAAAGAAATAATTAATGTAGCCGATTTTATCAGTCTTGTATCAAATATGGATTCTTTGCCAAGCTGATATGGTGCTGCTGAAGAACTAAAACGACACCGTTTTATTACCACAAACAATTTGATTAGGCTTGGCATGTTTATTATTCTAGTTGGATTGGGAAAAATCATGAGATGGGAGAGAAGAAATATGTATGAGATCAACTAACCAAGTAAACATCAGAATAACTTCAATATAACCAAGTAAACATTCACCGTTCGTTCCAGAAAACACAATGTCATTGGCTTCATCCTTGGAAGCGGTTGCCGTGTTGTCGTGGTCGGAAAGTTGAAAGGTCCATGGGAGAAGCCGTGCAGATCACCCTTGGGCTTGGGCAGCTTGACCTTGTAAAATTGTTGAAACTTGAACACCACAACCTCCATTTCCATGGCTTGAGAAACTCTCGAAGTTAATTCCTAGGTGCACTAATACTTTTCCCTAAGTGATATAAGAAAGAGAATGAGTTGTTTAATTATTTTTACAGTCCTGAGCGTATTAGATGTCCAAATCGATTTCAAAGCCAGTCAAATATGGTTTCTGTTTCATAACTAGTTTGTTCATGGATATTCAAGACGAGGAAATGTGATTTTGTACGAATATATCAATGTTGTTCTTCAAAAGTAAACCTAAATTTTGTCTATTACAAAATACAAGTTTTAAAAATTAAAAAAAAAATACAAACTATATAGGAATGGAAAATCGAACATAGAACATCGGGTACGTGGGATCGCTCTTAACACATAACACATAATAAAGTGATACAATTAGGTAAACCATAACACATATAGTGAGATGAACGAAGCTATCCATATATAGAAATTTTGCCTACATGTATTTGCCTTGGATAGCCTCAAAAGATGTTGAATATTTAATTAACTTTTTTGTTTATATTTAAAAATAAATTTTGGTAACCTTTTATTGGTTTGACAAATGCATGGTTGTATAATATAGGCTATAAATAAAATTAGGGTTTGATTCAAAAAACATCAAAAGATTCCTACACAATCAAAATGTGTATATATATATATACAACTCATTCTAGCTACTAGCCATTTGATCAAGTTACATATATGATCTAAAAATAGTAATAATCCCATAATGAACAACTAAAACTTACCCTGGATCCTATTTCTGGAAAACTCAGTCAAACCAATCTGCCATTGAGTTATTTTAAGCTCCAAAACCAATGGAACTTTCTTCACGTGTCCTCCATACACCTTGGAACTTACCTTCTCCACTCATTTACCCATTTGATTTTGGACCTTTAATTTACTTTCCCCAACTACAAGAAAAAGGTGATAGTTGATGGGCAAAAATCAGAGTTAGTTCAATCTCAAATTGCAAGCAATTGGAGATTGAACTTCCAAGGTTTCTGTTGAGCGATCTTGATTGATATCTTTGGGACAACAGGAAAAATGTCGTTCAGTGGAACCCAACAGAAATGCAAGGCCTGTGATAAGACTGTTCATTTCATTGACCAGTTATCTGCTGATGGTATCACATACCACAGGCCCTGCTTTAAATGCAGTCATTGCAATGGACAACTTTCGGTAGGTTTACATACATTTGACTTTTTACCTAGCTAGCACCGTATTAACGTATTAACTGATTAGTGCTTGAATATAAGCTTGCATATATTTTAATTCGAATGCTTGTTTAAATATGTGTCTAGATTTATAATTTTACAACTTAATATGTCACACTTTGTCAGAGATATAGAGATGATGAATTTAGGGTGCATCTACCGAGTGAATTCTCCTCTAATGAGAATATATATAATTCAATGGATTGTGATTCATCTACTCTATAGTAGAGAATGGTGAAACATAGATCAAACAAAGACTATATTCGTGTTTCCATTAAATGTGAACTCATATTGTAGAAAAATCCGGAGAATTAAGGGCCATATCAAATATGGGCTTGTAATTAAATTTCGTCTTCTAAATCAACTTGGTTTAGGGCTGAAAGAAATAAACAAGCTTTGGATGTAGGCTGAGGCCGTTGTTTGCTTGTGTGTATTTTACAGATGAGTAGCTACTCCTCCATGGAGGGAATTTTGTACTGCAAGCCTCATTTCGAGCAACTCTTCAGGGAGTCTGGAAGTTTCTCTAAGAAACTTACATGTAAGATCCCTCTTCCCATTGCAAAATTCTTGGTATATAAATCCATTTTCTCTCTCTTTTTTCTTCTTTTCTGATTTCCCATTTTTGACCTATCAATGTTTCGTTCCATATGTTTGATGTACAGGTGGAAAGTCACAAACTGAATTGGTACACATTTTATACCCTAAACTCATTATTATATGCTTAATATTTCTTTTTTTCTTGGTTTCTGCTAAAGCTTATACACATTCTTCTTTATATGTACAGGGTAGGACCCCTAGCAAACTGTCCTCAATGTTCTCTGGGACTGTAGACAAATGTGCAGTCTGCACCAAAACTGTGTATCCACTAGAGAAGGTCTGAATCCCATATCTCCCCATTTCTCTCTCACGAATTAACATGTTGCAAAGTGACCACAAGGTACTTCATCATGTAACACACTGCAAATTTGTTATCATGCACTTCAAAATTAATATTTAAAGCGCTTAAAAATTAGGTAAATAATAACAAATTGAGAGTGAGAATATTATTTCGGTTGTAATTTGATGCACCGTGTGATTAACAGTCTGTGGTTTGGCTTTAGATTTGGTGAATTCTAAGAGATATTTTGTAATACAGGTTACTATGGAGGGAGAGTTTTACCACAAATCATGCTTCAGGTGTAATCATGGGGGTTGCTTCCTCTCACCCTCAAACTGTGCTGCTTTGGATGGCATTCTTTATTGCAAGCACCACTTTGCCCAACTGTTCAAGGAGAAGGGCAGCTACAACCACCTCACCAAGACTGCTTCAGTCAAGAAAAATGGAGCTCCGATGCCCGAAACGAAACCTGAGGAAGCCGATTCAGGGAAGCCACAAGAAGTAGCAGAAGAACCAAAACAAGAAGCAGAGGCAGGAGAAGCAGAAGCAGCACAGGATTCAGCCCCACAGGGGCAATCATGAAAATGTGCACCACCCAATGCCATGTTCCACTAAGCGTGTGGTGTTGGGATTTTTGCTTTAATGATTTGTAAAACATGTTCAAAGGAAAACAGAATTTCTGCTTTTTCTTTGTTGATCATTTGAATCGATGTCTTGTGGAAGTTGAAATTTCAATGCAATTAAAGTAAATCAAATTTAACATCCTCGATCTTTCTAAAAATTAAAGGCCCAAGATGCTATATTTCGTTGGGTCAATGGAATTTGTTGTACTGGGCTCGAAAGTTATGGATCACATACAAACTTTATTTTAAAATATATAATTATATTCAAGTATCGAACTCCAATAGTTTATTTTTCAACTCTTCATTTATAGTTGATTTTTGAAAAACATATATGCAAATTCACAGAGCGGTTAATCCATTTCAGATATTCACGACGAAAAAATACTAAACCTCATTCAGATAGGCCCTTGAAAAAGGGCTCCATTTTCAAGTATTATATAATTAGAGTAAAGGAAAAATTAGAAAGAAATTAGACTGATAATTGCTTCCCATGGAATATATAACATTAACTAATTCTATACTACCAATACCAAAAAGAGAAAATTATTTGTTGCATAATTACTGGGGGTGGTGAATGTGTAATTGCTTCCCATGGAAAAAGTTACAGTGGGCAGAAATTCACAATTACGATTTTGTTAAAAGATTATTAAATTGCCTTCCTTAAAAAAATAAAAAATAAAAAAAAAGATAATTAAATGCCACGTTGGTACAAAATCTCCAAGAGCTCACTGTGTACTCAATCACTCTCAGTTTCACAGCTCAAAGTCTTTACTCTGTAATCTTATGATTATCTGAATGGCCTCCATTAACGCTCTCTGAATTCTGAAGAGCGTGGCTGCTCCCTTATCTCTCAAGAGATGGACGGTTTCTCTCTCACCCTCACCTCCAACGCCACCTCTTTCTTTCCTACTTCAACTATAATTCCTTTACTTTCATCCAGAACATCAAGAAGACTAAAAACCCAAATTTTCCCGCCGAAGAATACTAGATTCATTGTTTTCAGTTCCAAAGAAGAGCCGAAGCTAGACCCACTGGACCAAATGGAGCTGAAATTCGGTCGCTTGATCGGCGAGGACCCCAAACTTACTTTAGCCAAGGTGTGTATGTGTTGTTTGTGTATTATGGCATACCAGTTGTTTGCTAAAAGTTGCATATGAACTTGTCATATTGGTAGAAAAGCAAACCCAGAAGTTAGTTATATTGAAAGTGAGAACAGTTCTCTTCTCTGTATATATATGTGTATGTATGTATTTTTATGAGTGGTTCTGTTGAAATGTAATTTTTTTGAGAATATCATTATTTTGTGTTGTAGATATTGGGTAGAAAAGCAAACCCAGAAGCTACTTATATGGAAATTGAGAAAAGTTTTTACAAGAACAAGGGTAAATTGATTGAGATAAAGGAGGTACCTTTTGATGGGTCTAAGGAAGTTCCAACCACCCAAGAAAAGGAGGTACCTTTTGATGGGCCCAGGGAAGTTCAGTCATCTAGTTCCTTGGATGGTTTGAACTTGGTTCGACCGGTGCCAAAGAAAGGAGTCAAATTTGAAGTGGATTATAAGCCAACAGTGTCCGAGATTAAGAACCTGAGACGCCCAGTTGCCAAGCCTGTGGAACGTACTAAAAGTAGTGTTCCTAATGTTATTTTGAGAAAGCCAACTTCACATTATGAGGATGACGGTGAAGATATGTCGTCGAGGTTGAGAATAAAACCGAATTTATCGGTGAAGATGAGAAATGAGCAACCAAAGGAGATGTTTAGTGATATGACATTGTTGAGAAAGCCCCAAGCTGTGAGTGTTGATAAAAGTAGTGAAAATAAAAAAGAGCAATCTAGTGATGTAGACAGGAATGTCATTGGTGATGCAGAATTGGAGAAGTGGAGAGAAGAAGAAAATGATGAAGTTAGTGGTTTTACTCTATTAGAAAAGCCCATAGCAATCGGCGTTGAAACAAAGAGTGAAAATGATAATGAGCAACTTGAGAATCAAGAATCCAGTGCCACTGATGATGTTCAGGATAATAATAGATTGCAGGATTTGTCTGGATCTAGTGCAACTAGCAAAGGAACAAGAAACAGTCTTGAAGAATCCAAGGATGACTCCCTTATAGGTACTACTCTATGTTGCGTTATAGAATATATTCAGCTAGGATTGTCAAATTAATATTGTGCTTGAAATTTTAAGGATTACAGCAATATGAGCAGAGCACTATGGAGTCCAATGAAGAGGTATCTGCTGTGAGTGAACTGTCTGATACAAACTTACCTGTTTCTAATGTTGAGTTGTCTATAGACACTGCACTACAAGGAAAACCAAAAAGGTGAGTAAAGTCAGTCCTAAAATTTGTTTGTCTCCACCATTAAGTTTCTATTTTGTCTGATTAATAGGTTGTTTTCTTACAGATTTGACCTACCTCTGAAAGAAGCATCTGTTAAAGAAGCAGAAAGTAATCTTGTTGAGTCTGGGAATCTCCTTTCTACATCACCCATTGAGGTCAGGGTATTTCTTATTTTTGACTTAGTTATTTCCCTAATTTGATTTATTTCCTGTTACAAAGGCCTCATTCTCTATAAATATTACTATAGGGACATGAAGATGCTGATTGGGTTATGGCTGAAAATCTGGTTAAGACAGGAGATAGGGGAGATATAGAACTGATAAGTGCTAGCACCAGAGGTTTTGTTGTAAGTACACTTCAGGCATTCTTCCTAGGCTTTAAAATGTAATGCACTTCTTTTATTTTTTGTTAACCATACATCTTTGCATTTCACCTTTCTGAATTTGATTTAACCTTTGTGACAGGTATCTTTTCGCTCTTTAATAGGATTTCTGCCATACCGTAATCTTGCTTCCAAGTGGAAGTTCTTAGCTTTTGAGTCATGGTTGAGACGGAAGGGCTTAGACCCATCATTGTACAGGCGAAATTTGGGGATTATTGGAAGTTATGATATTGTGGACAAGAATGCTCTTCTTAATCCAAGCCTGGATCCTAATATAGTTATAAAAAACGACGGAGAAGTTTCACCAGATATGAAATTGGAAGAACTACTTATGATTTATGACCAGGAGAAAATCAAATTCTTGTCATCATTTGTTGGCCAGGTTTGAAGAAAGGGAACTGCAATTCAAAAAATGACAGTTGCATTTGGAAACTCTATTGTCACTATTTTATTCCTTTTAATGAATATTTATTATTTAAAACTTACTTTTGTAGAAAATAAAAGTAAATGTGGTGTTGGCCAACAGAAAGTCTGGGAAGCTTGTATTTTCAGTGAGGCCGAAAGAGAAGGAAGAGTCGGTTGAGAGAAAAAGAAGTCTCATGGTGAGAGGCCACATCCAGTTGTGATGTATCTGGCATGCTGTCTGTTTATCTTTTGCATCTATTCTTTAAATTACACTATTTGGTAACAATTATTTCCATTTTCTAAATTCAAGAGTTTTTCATGTTCAATATTTTCTGAAGACTAAATATTTTTGCTTTACGAAGGGTGGTGAAAACCACATTTTTTTATAGTAGCCTTTTGAATATGACATGCTAAGGGGTTTACTTTTTGTGGTTGGAGCTTGGAAAGGAAATTTATCTTTAAATGACTGTTGTATATGATAGATATGCTAGAATTCTATGTGAACCCTTATCCTTTATTCCCAAAATTGGGATTTATTATTTCATCCAAATAACTGGGAAGTAATCTCATCCTTGATAGGTGTCTGAATGCCATGTTCTTTCTAAAGCTTTTTGAGCATTTAGCGAAACTGCACTATGTAGTCTTAATCTCTTATGGAAATTCTTATGGCAGGCCAAACTTCAAGTTGGGGATGTCGTGAAATGCTGCATCAAGAAAATTACTTATTTTGGTATTTTTGTTGAGGTAACTGAAAGGTTTGCCGCTCATTTTCTTGGGAAGTGTTTTTTACTTTAGTGTTCTGATTACAGTTTGGTTCCATGATGAGGATTTTTGTATTTATTAATCTAATCAAAACTATTTCTTGATGGACTGCCCTTGGTACCATCCGGTTTGAGCTTCATGCTTTGTGGTATAATCACTGAACCATTTTTCTAATAAAAACTGATCCTAATTAAAATGATGTAGGTTGAAGGAGTGCCTGCATTAATCCATCAGACAGAAATATCTTGGGATGCCACTGTGGATCTTTCTTCATACTTCAAAGTTGGTCAGGTAATTTGGTGAATGATCAAACTGTAGCATATTTACTATTGTTTACTAAGTCTATGCCTCTGAAGTTTGAGACTAGGCCAGTAATGAAGGCATGATGAACATATATCTTGGTTGAGTAAAAGCTGTCTTATATCTTCAATTATTCTGTGCTTTTCTCTTGGCTGAACCCTATGAAATGCTTTATATTCTTTCCATTTCTATAGCCTACTTTTCTCTATGTATCTTGTTATACACGTAAAGAAACTCTTTCTGATCTCAGATTTTGGAGGCAAAAGTTTACCAACTGGATTTTTCACTTGAACGCATCTTTTTATCATTAAAGGAGATTATGGTAATGTATATCTTATACCTTTTGTACATACAAATTTCTAATTTTGATTGAGATATGCAATTACAAAGAAAGATCAATTCCTATCTGTGGCAGCCAGATCCATTGATGGAGGCCTTGGAGTCTGTGGTTGGTGATCGTGATAGCGTGGATGGGCGATTGGAAGCAGCACAAGCAGATACTGAGGTTTTTTTTTTTTTTTTTTTTTTCCACATGTTGAGTAGGGGCTAATAGCTGGTTCCATCATCATAGTTGTACACTACACAGAGCATACTTGTGACCTGTAATTATTAAAATCATCTTTAGTTAAGAATAATAGGAAACACATACATGACAATGAAACAGTGAAAAAAGAGGCTTTATTGCTGGTAAAGTGGGAGGTTTTCGAGAATTTTTTAGTTGCGAGGGTTTAAATCAGCAAGAAGCCAAGAACTTATTTTGTTTAAGATGCTTGGACTAGGGAAAAAAAAAGTTAGTATGTAGTTTATTTTGCCTCTTTGTATACATACCTGCATTAGTAAAGGTGCCTCAGAATTTGGTTCAGAAAGCTATTAGTTGTTGCCAATCTAATTTATCTCTTTGATCATCAATCTAAGTTCATTCATCATATGTTGATCTCTTTGGTGGATTGATAGGGGGGACATGAACCTATATGATACATATGTAAATTATCTTGTAACTGATTGAATGGATTATGTAAATTATGCTTCCATTGCTAATTCATATTATCTAATTCCATGGTTTTTTGACAGTGGGTTGATGTAGAATTTCTTATAAAAGAGCTGCAACAAACTGAAGGAATCCAGTCTGTAATAAAAGGTCGTTTTTTCTTGAGCCCGGGCTTAGCTCCAACATTTCAGGTATGAAGATCTAGATTTCTTGGATTCAGTTAGGTAGATAAAAATATAAGGTTGACAGGAAGGTGGATAGCATTGTGTGCTTTAAGAAGTGTCGTCTTGTAACTTTCTTCATCTAAGTTAATCACGAAAACTTTTAGATTTGTGACATTTGGTTAGGAATTATTTGCATAGTGTATGGTAATCTAGATTTCAAAAAAAGTAACATGTCAATGATGCATGGTTGATGAGTTTGTTTAACAAACTGCACATATTGGTACTTAACAATGTGTGTGTGATACAAATATTTATTCAAGGCATCTCATTGTGTTGATTCTCTCTCTGCCCCGTTTTAATGCTATATTTTCAATACTATGCTGGGCCTCGCCACTGCAGATACACAAATATGTTTTTGTATCATGTTAGAAAAACTAGTTCAGCTTATCATTTCCTAAATCTCTGTACATTTTCAAAGTAGTTTAAACTTTTCTTGCCATACTCAAGTGTCTTCTTCAATCTATCTTGCAGGTTTATATGGCATCCATGTTTGAGAATCAGTACAAGTTACTTGCTCGATCTGAAAATAAAGTACAGGAGGTAAGTTAATTAGGTTTTGCTAGTTTTATTGGCTATCCAACAGAACTAGATAACGATACTCGGGTGTTGCCGAATTTGAAAATCTCATGCTTTTGATAAATTCATTGCTGAAGAGGCAATAGTTTTTATGGAACTCATCTAAATGTACATGTTCCTGAAGTCTGACTTCTATGCCTTGACCAAATGACCCTCCTGCTTCCCTACCCTTCATGGTTGATTACAGAAATTTTATTGAAAATAATTCCAAAAACGTCATCCATTTATTGCTCTTCCATCTAATATATGATCGCATTTGCTTTTCTCAACCAAAACCCAGAAAAAGAAATGCGACATTAGTAGCATTTCTTAAAAGTAGACACTTAAGTGTTTATATTAGAGTGAAGAATCAATAATTGATTGCATTATTTTTCGCAGGTTATAGTTCAAGCATCACTGGACAAGGAAGAGATGAAGTCTGTGATTCTAACATGTACCAGCAGAGTGGGCTAGTTATGTTCTTTTTTGTTATCTGGGTTGTAAACTTGGAGAAGGCAGTTTCGTTCATGATGAGCATCTTTAGAAATTTTGTAGAGAGGTAGAAAAGGATCGAAATTGTTTGTTCATTTTGTAGAGGCAAGGGTCTGTAAATCCTCCAAGCTATAATGAAAAATCACATGAATATAAGTAGGATTTATTTAATTTAGCACTATTACAAGGGGATTCAAACTTGAGAGTCCCTCTTCAAATTCTGAGAAAAGAAAAAAAAACTATTAGAGCACCAGCTAGTTGGTTCAGTTTTTGTTGGTCATTTATGAAATCCACAATACCTCATTTTTAAAAGTAATTTGACAATATATTTAGTATATAGGTTAGATAATATAAAGGGAAAAAAATAATTCACGTTTCTTATTGATAAAAATGTTTGAAGAATCTAATTTCTAAACAAACAGAGAAGAAGATGGTGGGTGCGTGGTTATACTATTTATAAAAATAGTTTCTTAATAGCCGAGCGGCGATACAAGGTTTTTTTAATTAAAAAAATTCACAGTATAGTCGTGCGGCTATAGTAAATATATAACAATAATAAAAACAACCTACGTAACGCCGGGCAGCTATACTCTTTTTAAAAAAAGGGAAAATTCGGAGTATAGCAGCACGTTTACACTATTTATATATATAATAATAAATTAAAACAAACGACCCACTTACACCCCGGCTGCCAATGACGAAGCCAGGATTTCATGTGTGTGGGGGCCTCTTACAAATTATAAAGAATCAAAAGTTCGAACTCAATACATACGAAAAATAGTATATATATCACATATGTCAAGAATTATATTGCTTATTGGTTGCAATCATAATTGTCCTCGACAAAGAGATAGACAAATACATTTTAAGCAAGAAAAATTGTAAGAGATAGACAAAGAGCAGCGATTTAGCAAATATCTTTAAAGCTTTTTTCCCCATTAAACCCAATAGAAAGAAAAAATCAAAATTTCACAAACTAAAAAAAACCTTAGGTCCCTTCGTGCATTCATATCATATTATCATACATGAAAAAATGTTTTATGTAAAAATATTGACTAAGTATGAAAAATGGTTTTTCAAAATAATCATTTTCTCAAGATAATTTTTGGCGGCTTTTATTCCTTACACATCAAATAAGAAAACTTGATTTTATGGGATTTTAATATAAAGTATTTATTGACTTAATGAGCCATCATTTTTAGCCTAAATCGTATTTTGCACTAAAACTGATTTTTCATATTTTGATTTGGTGGGAATTTGATTTTCTAGTATTTTTATTTGAATCCAAATAGGGGGTACTTCCTTATTTACATTGTAAACTTAAGTAAATGGAGTAATATAAAAATAAATTAAAGTAAAAGAACAAAGACATTTACTTACATGCTGAAAATGGAAATAAGGTAATCTGTACACCTGGAGTGCTCCATCAGAGTAATACATAACATTATATTACTTTTAAAATATATAAAAACTTGAGTGGGGGCCCGGGACCACACTAGTCCCAGTGTGGCTCCGCCCCTAATTCTGAATTAGAGGGCGCGGTAGGCGGGCTGCGGATAGGAGTTGCAGTGGTCTAGAACTTGTGGGATACGGAATTTAATAAAGATTTTTCTTTTTGCTTTTTTGATAAGCATTGGCATCTTCATTCAGGTAATAAATAACAAATTTTGTAGACATAGCATTTTCATTGTGATAAGTTGTGAAAATGCATCTGCATGCAACACATGGAATTAATTAACTGCGCCTATTGCTTGCCAAGCGATTCGCCAATATGGTAAATTCACACTTTTTTATATTAAAATTAAAAGAAAAATCAAATTATGCAACACAACTACTCATTATCTTTTTTAATTCTAAAATAAATTTAAATTTTTAAGTTTTTAAAATTTTTTAATTTTAATTTTTTTAAAAAGGCCTCTCGCAGGCGCTGAAGCGTGCGGAGAGGCTAGTAAAAAATTAAAAGAAAAGGACCTTTCTAGTTGCATTAGTTTATACTTAATTTATAGATATTAATTTTTAATCAATAATATATGAAATTTTTGTGTATTATACGTGAATTTTGTGCGTGTTATTGAAAATTTGGTAAAAAACAAGTGTATTAATGTACGTGTACAATACGATTATGAAACGTGAAAATGTTAAATTCTTTATACAGAAAATAACTCTGGTAATGTAAAACCTCAAAAATGAACAATAGAGACTCGGGTAATAGCCTAATAGTAATGAATAATGCTCAAAACTACTCTTATCAATAAACAAAAATGGGGGAAAAACAATTTAAAAAAAGAAGAAGATCACAATGTCTATGTAAAGAGTATAGCCATATGGCTATACTATTTATTAAAAAAAATTTAAAAAAGACCCAAGTAAAGCCGGCCGGCTATACCCTTTTTTTTTTTTTTAAAACAAAAATATCCAGAGGGGCTATACTATTTATTATATATATATATAAAGTAAAAGGTAGAGAATGGTACAACATTCAAAATATTAGAAAATGCCATTGGTAAATGCAAACATTAAGAATTGAAATTATTAATTAAATGAAGATAATATGGTAAATTCAGACTTTTTCATATTTAAAAAAAATTAAAATTAAAAGAAAAATCATATAATAGATTCAATTTTTATGGAACACAACTACCCATTATCTTTTTTAATTCTAAAATAAATTTATTTATTTTTTTAAAAAAGCCTCTCGCATGCGCGGAAGAGTGTGCGAAGAGGTTAATAAAAAAAAAAAAAAAAAAGAGGAATCGCCTAGTGCCTATAGCCCGCCATGTGTCAAAAACAGTTTAGCCGCACGGCTATACCCTTTTGTATAATAAAAACCGAAGTATAACCGTGCGGCTCTACTATTTAAGTGACAGACAATCTTCTGTTATTCTACTTTTTGTTTATGTTGGCTGTTCTAACAAACACAGTGATTAGAAGCTATACACAACACAAAAGCCTTTTCAACATAAGCCTTTTTCTGCTAGAAAATTGGCACATTTGAAGTGATCAAAATGTGTTATTCTCACCAAATTACTTATAATGCCTTTGTTTTTAGAAAGTAACATGTCGATGCTGCATGGTTGTGATGAGTTTGTTAAACAAACCGCACATATCGATACCTAACAACAATGTGTGCCTGACACAAATATTTACTCAAGGCATCACCTTGTGTTGACTCTCTCTCTAAAATGCTATAGTTTGAGCCTCACCACTGCAGATAAACAAAATGTGTTTTTGTATCATGTTAGAGAAACTAGTTCAAGCTTGCCTAAATCTTTGTACATTTTCAAAATATACCATACTCAAGTATCTGCTTCGGATCTATCTTTCAAATGCAGGTTTATATGGCATCCATGTTTGAGAATTAGTATAAGTTACTTGCTCGATCTGCAGATAAAGTACAGGAGGTAAGTTAATTAGGTTTTGCTAGTTTTAGTGACCATCCAACAGAACTAGATCACAATACTCTGGTTTTGCCTAAGTTTTGTTGAACTCAATCTAAATGTACATCTTCCTGAAGTGGACACTTAAGTAGTTATATTAAAGTGAAGAATCAATAATTGATTACATTACTTTATGCAGGTTATAGTTCAAGCATCACTGGACAAGGAAAAGATGAAGTCTGTGATTCTAACATGTACTAGCAGAGTAGGCTAGTTCTGTTCTTTCTTGTTATCTGGGTTGTAGACTTGGAGAAGGCAGTTTCGTTCATGACAAACATCTTTAGAAATTTTGTAGAGAGGTAGAAAAGGATCGAAATTGTTTGTTCATTTTGTAGAGGCAGGGGTCTGTAAATCCTCCAAGCTATAATGAAAAATCACATCAATATAACTAGTATTTATTTAATTTAGCACTATTACTAAGGGATTCAAACTTTAGCGTCCCTCTTCAAACTTTCAGAAGGAAAAAAAAAACTATTATTGCACGAGTTATTGGTTCGGTTTTGTTAGTCACTTATGAAATTCACAATATCTCATTATTTTTAAGCAATTTGATAATATATTTAGTATATGGGTTAGATAAAATAAAGAGATAAAAAATTTCGGTCCAATGGATTACCAAAAAGAAGGAAAATAAAATAAAAATTTCACGTTTGTTATTGGTAAAAATATTCGAAGATTCTAGTTCTCAACAAACAAAGAAAAGAAGAATCTATGATGAGTGAACCGAACTACGTCGACAAAAACAGTCAACGTCGTACTTTCAACTTTGACTGCAAGGTTAGCTTCCTGAATAAGCGTGGCCTTGTTTCGGTTATCTCGGTGTCGTGTCGTGTCTGCTAGTAATATCCATGGGGTCATGAACCATGTGCAGGCGGTTCTCTATTGACGAAAATACCCTTAATAAATCATCATTATCCCCCTCTGGCGCCCTCCCTGAAATTATCTCCGAATGCCACTTGCTTCATCAGCTCAGAACCAGAAAATTCAAAACCCTGAAGAAAAAAAAAAACGCTGACGTCTCTCTCTCTCTCTCTCTCTGTTGCTTCTTCTTTAGTGCGAAGTTTAGAAGAGATTAGATAAAGAGAAATAGTGGGGTGGAGGAAGAGAAAAGAGAGAAATGGGTATGGGAACAAGCACATTTGTCATCAGATGGATCAACTTTCTCACCATGGTATGTTTTTAACTTTTGTTTTTTGTGGGAGCTTTGCGAAAACTGAAAAGATTGCTTCTTTTTGTTCTTTTTGTTAACTCCATTTCTGGGCATTTGCTTATTTGAAGGCCAGTTATCTCCTAAGCGACTAAATGGGTTTGTTTCTGTTGCTGGGTTTTGATGCTCAATGCCCGTGCTCCAAGGTCTAAAATTTGTTTTGTTAATGTGCATTGGGTTTTCTTTCAGACCATATGATTTTGATGCTTTTGTTTTGTCCATGGTTGTGCAAAGTTTTCTGTTTTAGTCTTTACATTGTCATGCGGCGGCATAAGGTTTTTAGCTTGTTTGTCCAACTTCAAATTGTCGAAGAAAACCTGTTGGAATTTATGTTATTAGTTAGCTTATTTAAGTAGTGAGAAGCTCTAGCTGATATGTGCTATTGCTGTACATGAAATTTGATGGCATTCTGTTATGGCGGTATGCTCATACTATGTTATTATGTTCATTCTGCAGCTGTTAGCAATTGCCGTTGTAGTTTTTGGGGTATGGATGAGCACTCATCATGATAACTGTCGGAGATCCCTCACTCTC